TCTCTATGGATTCTTCTAACAAATATATAAACTAAGAACTTTTTTTCTAGCAGCTTAAAAAAAGAATTAACAGGAGTCAAAAGCATGATGTGTAGGTTATTGGCAGTGGGTAACTGAAATAACAAAGTAACTACTTGGAAATTATGTGCTTAGGTGTAAAACAAAAGAGCAAATAACTTGAATATGAAATGTCATTTGAGCTACCAAAGTTAATTTTCAATGAAAATAAATTCTTTATCACTGTACTGAAGATTTGTGTTATTCAGGTCCTTTTCTTCACATTTTTCCTTCTGTCTTTCCTTCTTTTCCCTCCCTACTATCTAACTATTTATTATTAGTACTTCATGGGGAGTAGAGGAGCAAAAAAAAGAGTCTGAGCACCCAAAATAGTCCATTTGGGTACTTATGTTTGTAAATAGCTAATGAAGGAAGTTTTTTTTTTTTTTGGTAAAATGATGAACTACCTAGAAAAGAGCATTTCCACTTGAATATCCTAATTCCTTAAGTTAACCTTACTGTCTTATCCTATAGAATGATTCCATTTATGTAGCACCACCATTTTACCAGTTATGCTAGAAAAACCTTGGAAGCAATATGACTCTTTTTCTACTGTGCCATATATTCAGTATGTCACAAAGCTCTATTAGTTCTTGCTTTGAAAGATCCTTAAATGTTGAGTCTGTTACTTCCTCTCCACTCTAATGGTATTATCTTAGTCTGGACCCCCAGCACTTCATAGATAGGCTAGTGCAATCATTTCCTAAATGATGTTCTTGTTTCTAATCTTTCCCTACCTTCAATTTATCCTACAAAAAGCCAGAAGACAAGTCTTCCTAAAAGGTCAAATCCATTGCTTTATCTTCTTGCTCAGAAGCTTCCAGTAGATTCTCATCACCTAGCAGCAAGTCCAGATTAATCAGCCTGATGTTCAGGGACTTCCTTAATATGGTTCTACTTACCTGTCCAAACTTATCTCCCATTACTTAACAATACAAATCTTGCAATTCAAATAGACTAGTCTTCTCCCCATTGCTATGATGTACTGTGTTCATTTCCATGCAGAAGCCATTCTTCCTCATAGTAAAATGCCCCTTTTCTCTCCTTTTTATCTACTAAGTCCTACTTCTTCAAGACTCAGCTCAAGTCCTATTTCTTGACCCCTATAAGCCTGCTGAGTTCCTCCTTTGCTAAACATCAATGAATGTTATAAATACCATTTATTGGCACTGATTTATTTTGACACTTTGCTTATACACTGCTTTCTATGAATAGGAGAATGTTATTCTATTCATAGAATAATAGAATGTTAAATGAATAAGTGAATGAAGTATTTATTAAGCACTTACTATGTGCAAAGCTCTCGATTAGTTACTGGGAATATAAATAGAAAAGTAAGACAATCTCTGCTTTCGTGGAACTCATTCCATTGAGTGAGACAACAACATATGGAAAGTATCAGCTGAAAGTCAGATGAAAAGGTCCCATGATTCTTACAGTGAAGTAGCAAAGCAGATGGTAATGCTTTTTCTTTAATGGATTTCCACTGGTAAAATCCTGCCAGTTTCTAATGTTAAACCATTTGACAGTACCAAGAACTCTTTTTTTCTGTGTCTTTAGTAGCTGTTTTTGTAGCACCTGCAGGAGCAATTGCTAGGTTGCATTTCCACACAAGTTCCTTCCCAAGAAAGAACTAAGGCTACGGGTTGCTATTGAAATAGGGCTAGAAGTGTTGCTATTTTCAAGTTTCTTGGATCAGGGCCCTGGGCTGTCTCTAACATGGGAGATGGTGGTCAAGGTAGTGATGGTTTGTAGACTTTCCTGGAACATGCCCCATCTTCCCCTCAGAGTGCTATGCTGCTTCAGATAGAATGGTTTGAGTGCCCTGTGAATACCAAATGATTGATAGTTGGTGGGAAGGGCTCATCCATTTTCTTTTTTTTTTTAACCTTTAAATTTTTTTTTTACTTATTTTTAATTTATGGAATAAAACAAGCATTTCCATAACATAGTACTGGTTCATTGTAGGTGGAATTGTGAACTGATCTAACCATTTTGGAGAGCAATCTGAATTATGCCCAAAGAGTTATTAAACTACCTATGCCCTTTGACCCAGCAATACCACTGCTGGATCTGTTTCCAAAGATGATTAGAGAAGGAAGAAAGGAACCTATATGTTCTAAAATGTTTATAGCAGCTCTCTTTGTGGTGGCAAAGAACTAGAAGTTGCAGGGATGTCCATCAATTGGGGAATGGCTGAACAAGTTGTGGTGTGTGATTGTGATGTAATGTTGGTGTGCTGTGGGAGATGATGAGCTCAATGATCTTGGAAAAAACATGGAAAGATTTGTACAAAATAATGAAGATCAAAGTGAGCAGAACCAGGAGAACATTATATATAGTAACAGCAATATTGTTTTAAGAATGACTGAGCAAATTAGTAATTTTGAATATTATAAATGCCCAAATTAACTATTTTTTTAAATTTTGCTAGGCAATGGGGTTAAGTGACTTGCCCGAGGTCACACAGCTAGTAATTGTTATGTGTCTGAGCCCCATTTGAACTCAGGTCCTCCTGACTCCAAAGCCGGAGCTCTATGCACTGCACCACCTAGCTTCCTTCCCCCCCCCCCAATTAACTAAAAAAGACATATGAAGAAAGGTACTGGTCCAATTTCCCCTGGAGTTGCCTCCCCAGATGATGGCTGTGAGGGCTTGGCTGGAAGTAGGACAATTGGTCTGAAGATGCTGCCTGCTCTAGAACTCCTGTGCCTATCTTTCCCTTGCTGACTGTTTGCCAGCGGCTTTTGCTAATGATGATGAGGGTGGAGCCCTTCTCCACTATGATTTCTTTCCTCAATATTGGCTGTAAGGGCTAAATTGGAAGCAGGTCCAGTGGCCTAAGGGACACTACTGTTCCCGAGGCTCTCAGGTTGAGAGTCCTGGTCTTTCTCCATCCGTCAGTTAATCAAGAATGACACCTATGTAGGCCTCAGGAAGTGGGAGTATGATAATGCCCTCTGCAGTAATAGGGAGATACGAGATGGGGAATGTTTGGGGCAAATGATGATGAGTTCTATTTTGGACATAATGAGCTTAAGGCATCTACTAGACATTCATTTTGAGATGTCTGAAAAGTAGTTGGAGATGCGAGATTGGAGGTCAGCAGAGAGATTAGGACAGCATAAGTAGAACTGAGAATCATCAGCATAGAGATAATTAAATCCATGGAAGCTGATGAGATAACCAAGTGAAGTAGTAGAGACAGGAGGGTAGAAGAGGTAGGATAGAATCCTGAGGGACTTCTATAGTTAGAGGGCATGGTCTGGAGGAGGGTCCAGCAAAGGAGACAGAGAAGGAGAGGTCAGAGAGATAGGAGGAAAACTAGGAAAGAGTAGTGCCCCTAAACCTAGAAAGAAGAAAGTATGAAGGAGGGAAAAGTGATAAACAGTTTCCAAGGTCACAGAGAGGTCAAGGAGAACAAGGATAAAGTTTTGGGCTATTGAATTTGGCAACTAAGAGATAATTAGTAACTTTGGAGAGAGCCATTTTAGTGGAATAATAATGTCAGAAGCCATATTGTGAGGGGTTTTAAAAAGAATGAGAAGAGAAAAAGAAGTATCTATGGTAGAAAACCTTTTTGAGGAGGTTAGCTACAAAGTGCAGAAGAGATAGAACAATAGTTAGCAGGGATGGAAAGATCAAGACAGTTTTTTTCAGAATGAGGGAAACAAAGGTAGGTTTGTAGGCAGTGGGGAATGAGCCAGTAGACACAGAGATGGAAAATATGGTAGCATGGGGGTGATAGAGGGGAATAGCTGTTGCAGGAATTGGGTTGGAATAGGATGCCTTGAGCAAGTAGAGGGGTAGCCCTTGGTAAGGAGCAAGGCCACTTCATCACGTAAGACAGGAATAAAGGAGGGAGTATCAGAAGGCACCTGAGTTATAGGTGATGAGGAAGAAGAGAGAAGAGGGAGTTCATAGGGAATGGCCTCAGTTTTTTTCTGCAAAATATGAGGCAAAGTTCTCAGCTGAGAGATCTTCAAGGTCTAAAGGAAGATAGTGGTCAAGGTGGCAATGACTTTTGACTCATCCAGCACACTGCCTTCTATCTCTCTTCCCGATTGCTTGTTTCCTTGTTAGATCTAGAAGGGACTTGGAGGCTTTCTAGTATTAACCTCTCATAGAAGAACAAACTGAAGCCAAAGAAATGAGGATAATCTGTCTTACGTGACCATAGGAAGTTAGTGTCAGAGCTGGGAATTAATCCCAGGTTTTCTTGGCTTCCAGTCTATCACTCATTCCACTTTAAATAACCCACCACTTCTTGGGGTCTCCCCAACTAGTTTGCAAATTCCCAGAGAGTAGACACTCTTCCTCATATTTTTTTCATCCTACTTCTTACCTAACATAGCATAATTTGTATATTAAGAATTTATTAAATACATGTTGAATGGGAGGTGGAGAGAAGGGAAAAAAAAGAAATTTATGTTATAATTTTATTATATATTTGAAAGAAGTAGCAAGTTGTGCATAATAGATTTGCAGTTTCATATGTGGTCATCTTTTTATTGTACTATGTTATAGAAACACTTGTTTTATGCCATAAATTAAAAATAAAATTTATTAACAAACAAGATTTTTAAAAATACATGTTGAATTAATCAGATTTGGCTAAAGACTTTTAGAAAATGCCAGTAAGGACCAAGATCATTACCCTTCTGGATTCAATTAAAAAAAAAACAGTTGTATATTAATGTGAAGTTTACCATGTATGGAAGATCCAATCTTTGGAATATGGAAATGTTTCTAACTTGCTGGTTTTGTTCTTGTTATAGGGGAAGAGGGAAGAATGAAATGAGTTCTGCAGAAGATTCTGTCTATAAAGCATGGCATAGTCAGAAGTCAGGTGTGATGTTTATGTCTCTATGTAGAATTTTCTGCCCTTTCCTATGTTTTCCAAAGAAAACTACCCTACATTGTTTTTTTGCATTTTAGTTAAGATGACCTCAAATACAGTGACCGTCACATCAGGGAGTTTTGAGTCTTTTGGTGGAGATACATGTAAAGATGATTTGTGAGTATGTTTCCTTTGGGGGATAGTTGAAATATTTCAGCTTGCTATTCTGACCAATTTACAATGTATGCCTTTTTCTCACATGTGTAAACTCTTAGTCTGACACTGTGTGATCCTGAACAAATCACTCGATCACACTGAGCCTCGCTTTCCTCATCTATCAAATGATAATACTGCTACTATGTACTTCAAGGTTTGTTCAGTCATTCAATCAATCAAGTTTTGTTTTGTGTTTTTAAAGGGCCTACTGTATGGCAGACATCATGCTAGGCTCTGGAAATATACATACAGTGAATAAAATAATCCCTATTCACAAGGAGTTTGCATTCTAACAAGGGAATCAACTATAAATACATACAGGAAAAAACATAAGGAGAAAAAAGTTTAATAATAATAACAACAACAATAATAATAACTAACATTTATATAGCACTTATTATGTGCCAGGCACTGTCCTAAGCACTTTACAGTTATTATCTCATTTGATATAAAGGACCTTGAGAAGGAAGGAACTAGCAGTTGAAGGAGAAAGGTGCTTTGGAAACCGTAAAATAGCAGAGAAATGTATAGTGGTCATGGTATTATCACTAGAGTTCTGTTCCCAGTTAGTTTAAGCTAATTCAGTAGCCAAATTCATTTACTTCTTAACCATTTTGTATGATCTATACGGGAATCCTTATTTTTCTAGGATCTAATTTATGCTTGCTTTCTCAAGGAGAAAAGAGGGGAGGGAGAGAGGGTGACAATATGGAAGTCAAAATTTAAGAAAAAGATTGTTAAAAATTTGTGTTTACATGTAATTGAGAAAAAAATAAAAATTAAATATAGAAAAATAATCTAATTTAAATTTACTAGTAATTTATTGTTACACTTTCTCTTTCATAGAGCCTCACTTGATAGCTATAAGAAACAAATTTTATTAGAAGTAGGACATCCCAGAATGGAAAAAGGCAGCTGTAAAAAAAGCTACAGGCAATGACAGAATAAAATCCAAGTTTCAGGAATGATTGATCCCTGAAAATCCAAGAAACTTGATTTCGTGATGATGGTTGCTGGGTAGGGAGTCAATCTCTTGAGAAAATTTAAATCTGTGAATGTTCTCATATGTCTTGTTTGTTATGAAAAGGGTTAGGGAGAAAGAGATGTTTTATTGAAAAATATTCTCTTTTATTTCTTCACCTTTAGAGAGACCTCTGACTTGATTACATGTGTGGCAGACCTGCAGTTTAACAAACAAAAACTACAAGAGGAAAATAACAAATTTAAACTAGCGTTGGAAGCCCTAGAGGAAGCCAACAACCAGTTAACAGAAGACTGTTATGAATTGCACAAACAAATGAAAAGGTAAACTTATTTCACTTTGTGTGTGTTTGTGTTCCTGGACAGAATTCTATGATATCTATGCCCTTGAATAGTTTATTCATGTCCATGCTGTCTGCTTGAGGTTTGTAGGCCCTACAAGCCAAAAAATGGGTCCACCCAAATTATTCCCACTTGTGCCAAACTACTTGTATAACATTATGAAATTTCAAAAAGCTACATTGTTCACCTCACTTCTCTCACCTGTAAAATGGGGAAATAATAGCACTCACTTCCCAGGGTTTTTGAGAGGTTCAAATAAGATTTGTAAAGCACTTAGCACGGTGCTTAGCAATAGGTACTATATAAATGCTAGCTGATATTATCATTATTATCATTGTTATTATTATTATCACAAAGCCTTTCTAGTATATGCATGTGGTTATTTCCCCAGTATATGGTTACTTAAGAAAATGGTACCTGAGAAAGGGATTTGGATTTCTAGTCCATTGCTTAAAACTGAAAAATGATGGATTCTTGGCCAAAGATGGAGTGTACCTATTGAGGAGTGGCAAAACCTTTATTTACCTCTGAGGTCATTAAACTGAAAAGAAGGGAAGAAAAAAATGAATGAAGAATAAATGAATAAGTGAATGAATGCTTTAAAAATGTTTTAAGTGTTTATTATTTGCCACACACTGTGCTGAGAAGCTTATACAAAAGCAAAACAGTGCCTGCTCGCAAAAGCTTATATTCTAATGAGGGAGAAAAACACAGGTGTAGGAGTGGTGGCCAAGAAGGAGTATCTTGGTTTTGAAATCACAGATATAGTGGGACAATCAGGACAGCACAGGGCAACAGTTAAAGGACCAAAATGAATACATGACCTAGATATTATAAACATATCATAAAGTTATATTATAAACAAAGGAGAGAAACAAGGAAGAAGATACCTTTCAGATCTATGCACAGGGAAGAGTTCATGACTAAGGAAGATGTAGAATCACATGAGACAAAATAGACAATTTTTATTATAAAATTTTAATGTTTTTATGCAAATATTCTGATGTAGAAAAAAATCAGAAGAACAGTAACTGGGAAAAATATTTGGAATACATTTCTCTGATAAAGGTCTCATTTCCAAGAAGCAAATTCAGATTTGTAAGATTTTGAGCCATTCCCCAAATGGTCAAAGGATATGAAAAGGCAATTTTCAAAGGATGAAATCTAAGCAATCAATGATCGTGGAAAAAACGTTCTAAAACACTAAAAGCAGTTAAAGGCAAATTAAAGCTGCTTTGAGCTTCCACCTCATACTTATCAGATTGTCAAAGATGAGAAATAAAGAAAATAATAAATGTTGGAGGGACCACATGAAAAGAGGCAGACTAATTCTCTGTAGTGGAGCTATGAATTGGCCCAGCCATTCTGGAAAGCAGTTTATAACTGTGGCCAAGAAACTACCAAACTATGTATACACTTTGTTCCAGATATATTGCTAGTAGGTCTGTGCTTCAAAGAAATCAAAGAAAGAGGAAAAGGATTTGTATGTACAAAAATATTTATAGTCATCTTTTCATAGTACCCCCAAATTAGAAATTTAGAGATGGTTCCTTTGGAGAATCACCAAATAAATTAAAGTACATGAATGTAATGGAATATTGTTGTACCATAAGAAATGATGAAATGGACAGTTTCAGAGGAAATGGAAAGACCCTAATGAGTTGATCCAGAGTGAAGTGAACAGAATTAGATCAATTCATAGAAGATTTATATAATAAGAACTATTATAGACAAAAAAAAAAACCTTCTTAGAGTCCTGATCAGTGGAAAGATAAATCACAAGTCTAAAAGAATGAAAATGAAACATGCCATTCACCTCCTGGCAGAGAGGTAATGATATTATTTTTTTAGTTCATTCTTTTTTAAAATCATTTTATTTTAAACTTCAATACAAAATAAGAAAGAAAAAAAGAAACAAACTTAAATATTAAAACTAAAATGGTACAAAATAAGAAAAGAAAAAAAAAAGGATTGCCATGTACACAGCAGAATGTGAGAGAGGATTCAAAATATACAGCAACAAATTTCCATTTCAAGAAAGCCTATATAATAAAGATGCATTATGTTGAGAGCTGTCCATCTTTGTTTCCTTTTAAGTTTTCTTTTGTTCTCTGCTGTGCACTTTTTACTTTGTTCTTTTTTCCCTCTTCCTCCCCAGAAGGCTACTATTAATTTTGGACATATTTATATAGATATGTATATAGAGAGATAACAAACATACATACACATATAAACATACATACACATACATATATAGTCATATACATACAGATATATACATATACATATACACACATATACCTGTACATACATACACTTACACATATACTTATATATGAATAATCATAGTCATGTATAGACATATAGAATCATATGCATCTATGTAAGACCATACTATACTTGTTTATTCTCTGCTTCTCTGAGGTTGAATAACCTTTTCCTTGTCTTTCCATATTTTTCCAAGTCTACCAACTCATCATTTCCTACACTACAGCAATATTCCCACCTAATACTGTCTAGTTGTTTTAAATAGTCTAAAACAATATTGATGATATGGCTGACACATATTGTAGTTTCCCTATTTTTTCTCTTTTGATTAGATATATTTTAGCCTTAACTTTGTCCTAGATCATGATTACCACCCCTGCTCCTTTTCCCCTAACCAATTCTTCTTCTGTTTTTTATTTTATGTTTGTGTGTATCTCTTATTTCCTATCCCTCCTGACTCTTCTCATTTACTTCTACTCACTACTTTGCCCTCCTAATACTTAACCTATCCTCCCTCCAAGGATCCCTCCCTTATCCTCCCATTCCCATTAATCTAAATAACCTTCTATACCCCCTTTAATATATTCCCTCACCCTCCTCTCTAATGATCTCTCCCTTATCCTCTCCCCTCTCCCTATCCCCTTAGCATTTTATTTCTTTCCGAATTTAGAAAACTTTTATACTCTTCTAGATATATATGTGTTATTTCCTCTTGAACCCATTCCTGATTAAAATACATTTCCAGAACTTCCAGCCCTCCTCCCCTGTCTGATTCCTCTGTGTCGGTTCTTCCTCTCACACTTCATTTGTATGAGAAAATTACTCCTTTTAGTTGTTCCTAAACAGTTTTACTTTTTACAATCATATACTCAGGTCTACCCCAATCTTTCTTATGAACTACCCAATTACTAATAATAATCTTAGGCATATATTTTACATTTTACATACATAAAAGGTAAACAGCCTGTCCTCATTGACTTCCTTGTAATTAGTCTTTGGTATATACCTTATATTTCTCTTGGCTCTTGTATGTCAAATCTTCTATTAAGTTCAGGGTTGTTGTTGTTGTTGTTGTTTAACAAAATCCTGAAAGTCTGACAATTCATTAAATATCCATTTTTTTCATCCAGGATTATGCTTAGCTTTGTGGTGATGATCTTAAAATGCAGAAAGAGATATACAGTTTTTAGACATGATTTAGGTGGAAATTTGTTTTGCTAGACAATGTAGGTATTCACTGAGAGATTTTTAAAAATTGTTCAGTGGTGGAAGATGGTGGTTTAAGGGACTTTTTTTTAAAAATGCATGTTACTTTAAAAAATAAAAATTATGAAATAAAAAGATGGAGAAAAATGAGTTAGAGGGAAGAAATTGCTTATGTATATCTTCAAAGCAGGATGCCATAAAGAGTAGTTATGGTGTAATAGCATTAATGGCCAATAAGTCACAGTAGACAAAATCCAAGGTAGGAGCCAACAATAAAACTCATATCCTCAGGTGACAATGTATTCAAAGTATGGATAACTAGCTACCCAAATGCAAGGAGGAAAATGTAGTTTCATAGGCAGTGGTAAGATTTAATCAGATGAACTCCTAATACGAATAAGGTAAATAAATCTTAGTGAAAAGCAACAGGGTAGACAAAGTATATGTGTGTGTGCATGCACACATCTCTCTCCCTCCCTCTCTCTGTGTCTCTTTGCATATATATGTGTATATATATATATACACACACATACACACATATACACATGTGTATATGTATACACATATAACATATAATGTACAATACATATGTGTAATCATAAATATTTAATATATAGACACACAGAGACATACACACACATACACATATATATATGTATATGTATATGTATATATATATATATGTATACATACATGTATATGGGAATGGCAGAGCAGGGCAAGGATAGCAGGAGGGACTATTGTGATTTAAGAAAATATATGAGAAACTGAGAACAATAGTGCAGAAGCATGGTGGAAAATATTTTGGAAAAAATGATGGAGGGAGAATGAGAAGCAATAGTATTGGCAGAAATGTATTAAAAACCATCTAGGCAGAAGGGGGAAGCTGACAAGTTCAGGAAACATCTCTGGTCTGGCATGGAGGCATGAAGGCATGCTTAGTAGTGATGGAGGACTTCAGTTATATGGAGCTCTCTTTCTGCCAAAGGAAGAACAGCTAATAATTTCTCATCCTGTTTTGCGAATGATTTTATCTTTCAAAAGATGGAGGAACTAAGAAAGGGAACTGTCATTCTGGATCTGATTCTTGCTGATGAGGAGGAACTAGATGCTGCAGAATAAATAATGTGGACCTTAGGGGAGAAGTGGCCACATACTCTTAAAATGAAACATACAGTCTAATATACACCCTACATTTTGGGAGAAAATTTTCAAAGCACTCAGAAAAAGGATGGGTAGCATGCCATGGCCTAAAATTCTACTAGGAGTGTAACAATGAGCAGAGATAAAAAGCTCTCAAGAATGAAATTCTGAATACACAAAGAGTTTAAATTCTAATCAGAAGGAAGAGGGAATTGTTTAAAGAGATAAGTAGGGAAGCTCAGGTAACTCAGAAACCAATATTTTTCATTTGTTCTGTTTTTGAAGATGGAAACAATGGCAGATAACTGAAAATGAACATAAAATTTGTCATGGGTCCTGTAAGAATAATGTCAGGGGTGCTAAAGGAGCCTAGGCTGGGGAAGAGTGCTTAGGATAACAGAAGAGGAATTTTTTGTTATATCAAGGAAAAGAAGAAGATCAAAGATGGGAAAAGACTGCTACATGAGGCGAGATGGAACAGTGATAACCAATAATGATGAGATGTAAGAACTACTCAAAATTAATTTTACTTCTTTTATCTCTGCCAAGGGGAATTATTTTAGACTGGAAAAGAGAGAACTAAATGACTACTATGAAATTAAAACCAAAGATAAATAAGGAGTCAGATAACAAGACAGCCCCTAGGTATTTTTAATAAGTTCAAAGTGCTATAGCCAGACACAGTCCAACCCAGAAGACTGAAAACTAGCAGATAATCAATAACACTTGAACAATCATGGGGGATGGACTTCAAGTCTGGAAGCAAATGTCCCAGTTTTCAAATGATGAGAGCAGAAGTTAGCCAGTACATTATAGACCAGTGAGCTTGGCTTAGATTTCTATCAAAATTCAAGGATACATCATTAAAGTGATGATTAATGAATTTCTAAAAAAGAAGAGGTAATCACAAATATTTGATATGATTTCACTTGAAAATGCCATGTCAAAGTAACCTAATTTCTTTTTTTCATAGAGTTAATAAATTGGCAGATAGGCAGAAGATGTTACGTTTTCACCTAGGTTGTAGTGAAGCATTTGATAAATGCTTTCTTTCTAGACAAGATAAGGGAGATATGGGTTACGTTTGGTATCAATTAAATGATTGCACCCAAAGAGTAGTATTATATGGTCCAGATCAAATCAAGTCAACAAGGATGTATTTATTAAGCACCTGCTATTTTCCAGGCACTAACAACTACAGCTACAAAAAAAATGACAGAAAGACAGCCCTAGCTCTCAGGGAGCTCACAGTCTAATGAAGGAGACAACATGAAAACAACTATGTGCAAACAAGATATATTCAGGATAAATTGGAGATAATCAACAGAGGGAAGGCTTCTGGCTGAAGAAATTTTAGTTTGGACTTGAAACCAAGGATGTCAGGAAGTAGAGATGAGGAAGGAGAGAATTCCAGACATAAGGGACAGGCAGTGAAAATTTATAGCCCAGAAGATAGTGAATCTTGTGCAAGGAACAGCAGGGAGGCCAGTCACTGGCCTTGCAGAATCACTGGATTGCAGAATAGTGGGCATAAGAAAGGTATAAGGAGACTGGAAAGATGAAACGGGGCCAAGTTTTAAAAGCCAGAGGATTTTATATTTCATCCCAAAGGGACCATTGCAGCTTATTGATTCAATAAAGAATTGGCAGGAGGATGGAGAATCAGTTAGGAAGGATGTGTCTAGTGGTGTGTACCACGGTGCTTGGCCCTGTGTTGTTAAATATTTTTTATCAATAACTTTGATAAAGGTACAGGAGGCATGCTTATCAAATATTAGATGACAGAGCTAAGAGGGATAACTAATGTGTTGAATGACAGGATCCATAGATCCATACAATTAACAAGTTGAAATTTGATAAGTATAAATTCACTCTTGGATTAAAGAGAATCACATCAGTAAGTACAAAGTTGGAAGAGGCATGACTAGATAGTATTTTGTCTGGAAAAAAGAAGAAAAATTGAATTTATGTGTTTGAATGTTGATATGGGTCAAAAGTGTAAATGGCAGCTACAAAAGTTACAGTAAGAGGATCGTAGTGTCCAGAATAAGACTTGTTATAATCTTGTAATCTGTCTTGGTCAGACAGCATTTGGAATATTATATATAATCTGGGTGCCACATTTTAAGAAGTTAGGAAAAGGTGGGAAACAGAGAATTTAAAGGACTAGAACCAGGATGGCAAAGTCCTTGAGATTATGCCACATGAGGTTGAGTTAAAGAAACTGGAGACATTTAACCTGTTGAAAAGAGGACTTGGGAGGTCATGGTAGATGTCAAAACTAGAAGCAATGAATGGAAAGTTCAGAAAGACATATTTAGGGTTATTATAAGGGAGAACTTCCTAATGGTTAGAGTTATGGAAAAATACAATGGGCTATGACGAGAGGTAGTAAATTACTCTGAGAAATTTTCAAGAAGAATATGAATGATCATTTATTAAAAAATGCTGGTGAGAAGATTGTTATTGAAGTATGTGTTGGATTAGATGGACACTGGGATGACTTCCTACTCAGAGATTCTGTGAACTTGCAAGGTATACAACTTCCATTTCTGTGTGGGCTTTGTCTGCTAGTATTCTCCATAGAAAATGTATTTGATTAAGAGATCCCACCAGCAAACGTATACCACAAAGACAGGAGGAAAGGTCCCTCCAGTGATGGCGATTATAACTCATCCAGGCCTGTCAGTCTTGTACTGCTCTCATCTATGTTTATCCAAAATGCCAGGTTCCTTCCTCGCTTTCTCCTGATTTTGCAAGGGTACCAATAAAACACTGTCAACATGTCATCCCTTATCTTTACCATGTGACCATTCCATATTTTCTTCCTATCATATATCATTTATGTCTTTATTATTTATGTCTTTTATTCATGTCTTTTATTCCTGTTCTTTGAAGTTCTTAACTGGTTATGTGTTATGGCTTGCCCACAAAACCATATATCTCTTCATTGTCCTCTGCATAACACTGATTTTTAATTTTTTGAGACTTTGTATTGCTGCCTTACAGCAAAACTAGCAGGATGTTCGTGTTAAAATGGTGGGCTTTTGCTTTCATGCTAAAGTCAAGGTCATTAAAAGAGCTTTGCAGTTTCCCAAAGGAAATCCAGTCTGCTCTCCTCCTCTTTCTTCAACTCTAGACCCAATTCCTATAACTTTTATGTCTGTCCCATATATACATAATAATGAACAAGCTGTGTGAGTTGTATATACAAAAGCATATTGTCATCTATGCAACAGACTTTTTCATCCCCTGGGGCTTTCTCATGCAGATGATCAAGCCAGATTCCTTGAACTGGAAACAAAGTTGGTGCCCACCGATTGTCAAGTTTCTAGATAAAGTTGATCATGAATGTAGTAAATATTATTGCTCCTTAAAAATGATGAATATGAAGAACTCAAAACAGCATAGGAAGACACGAACTGGTGAAAAGTAAAACAAGTAGAACCAGGAAAGCAATATGTAAAATTACAACAATAATGTAAATGAAAAGAATAACAGCAGTAAAAAATAGTGTAAGCTGTACAATTATGATTACCAAGCTTGGTCCTGGAGAGGAGATGAAAAAATGAACCTCTTTCCCTTCTTTACAGTTGTAGGGGACTGTGGACATGGGACGTTGCATATACCATCAGACCTAGTTGATGTGTTGGTTACTTTCAATGAACTGTTTCTTTTGTCTTTTTCTGTTCTTTGTTGTAAGGCACAACTCTCTTGGTAAAAAAGAGAGAGGATAGATTGAGAATGAAGATGAAGTAAAAACAAAAGTTATTCATAAAAAAAGTTAAATTCAAAACAAAGTTGGTGGGTTAACTTTAAAGGATCCCTGTATTTTCCATCCCCCTAAACTAGCAATTTTGGCAAGTAGGGTAAACCGAATAAAATGTAAGCACAAATTACTTTTTTTAGACATATTTAGTTGAGTGAGGTAGAAATACAAAGACCTATGTGAGAGAGTCTTTTAACATCATTCCATTTGGGGGAGTCAGAGATCCTAGGATAAAAATGTATACTCCTCCTTTGGGATAAAAGTGCTGTGTGCTCTGACCCCACCAGTCCGTGGTGGATTTCAAAAGCATCCTGGCACTAATCTTCATTGCAGGAATGAAATTCTTCTAGTGACCTTAAGGTCTAAGGAAGAAGCTTCCCTGAAAAACTTGTTTCATTAACCCCTTTTCTTCAAGTTGTGAATTAGTCTTCCCTAGAACTAATGGGCACATTAAGACTTCATTCAACCTCTGGCATAAGGTCTCAGTGGTTTAATACTTGTCCAAAAATAGTTCTGTGATTGTATTAATAGCTCTGACAGTTATATTTGAGGTTTTGCTTATCAATTTTTTCCAGTGCCCAACAGTCTATTAAGAGAACAAATCTTTTAAAAGAAGAACTGGAGGAACTGAAAATTAACTTGAATGTCTCAGAAGAGGAGAAAACCAAAATAGTAACTCAGAATAAACAGTTAGTAAGTGACCCAGTTACCTTTGAAATGGCAGAAATATGAATTGTGACTTTATGACAACATCTAGAAGGCAGCTAGTCAAGCTGCTAGATTAGCAGAAAAAAAAACAGAATATGGAACTAATCTTCCTAAGTTTGACCTGTATTTTCTACACACTTAGTCATCAGACTATTAGTTATGAAGGTTTAGAATATTCAGACTACCTAGTATGAGTTTATGCCCCAGAGATAGCTGACCAAATGTTTGATACCTGAAAACCATTCAAATCTGATAGTACCATTAATTTGCCTGTCAAATCTTCATCTCTTCACAGGATATAGACTGAAAGGGTGAGGTGCTCTGGTACGTATAGGTTTCTTTTAGGTTTCACTAATTTGTTTTTTATTACAATAAGAATGCAAATTAGTGAAGGATTAAAGTTCCGGGGCACAAAATAAGTTAGCTAGACTAGCCTTTAAATCATACTCTGGAAAAAAACTATTTTTAATAAGAACTTAAATTATGGCCTAGATCCAATATAGGTGTTCCATTTTAGACGGCTGGTCACTACTATCATTTTTGTTTCAATATTTTTTTTTTGTCATTGCCCCCACTCCCAACCACAGTGCCTGTTAGATATTGAGTGCTTACTAAAGGATAGTTGACTGATGATCAGCCTTTCAAGCTGGTAAAAAAGTGTTTGCAGGCTGAGAAGGCATTTTAAAATCTATTTCTCTTCAAGGCACTATGGTATAATATAGAAAACATTTGCCAGGAAATCAGAAGAATTACACTAGAGTCCCTGTTCTGACACTAATTTGTTAGGTAACATTAGGCAACATTGGAAGGCCTCAGTTTCGTCATCTGTAAAATGAGGGAATTGAATTCTATCTCAAAAACCGTATGATTCATAGGGCTTTATTATAGGGAAGACTGACTTCACAAGTATTTTAGAATTCTACTACTTTAGTCCTCCTATATATGTCTTTTTACAATCTCTCATTGTAAAACCCTGGCTTATTGACTTCAGTTTTCTTGACAATTTGAAACTTGGGGTTTAGGATGTAAACATCTGATGCTCAGATTGTCACACACAGTTGAACCTAGGAAATATGGAACTTGAAATAGGAAGTACAGTCATATGTGTTTTCAGGGTGCTTTTTTGACAGCAGAGTTCATTGCTACTTCTGGTAAAGCTATTGGGGGAAGAAATAAGGCCAGGGGGTGCAGCTAAAGCGAACTACAGGTTTGGTTTTGAGTTTTTTGGTTTTTTTCTCATTATCTTAGATATAGGTAAAGCCTGCAAGGAAGGGTTTCCTCTTGTTGGTCCACCAAGCTACCTGGACTTCTAGTAACCTAAGAGTTAACGTTGCCTTCAGTGAAGTTTTAGACCAGCTACCACCTGGTGTGCTAATATCTTTAAAATTAGTTAAGAAGATACAAAATAGATACACTTTTATAGACGTTTGCAAATAAATGTGTTGTGACATCTTAAACCGCTGAAATGTTTTTATTTCTTTTTCCCCCTAAATGAACCAGGAAAAAGAAAATCAGGCCCTGATTCTTAAGATCCAGAATCTTCAAGAGGAGGTATATTGCACAGGTCAAACACTGGTATACACAAATGTAGGAAAATCACATAGTGACTGAACACAGTAAAATTACTAATGGTGCAATGTTAAGTCTTTTTCTGTATGGGCTACTGGTTCTGTCCATTTTAGGGGTGGTAACTGGAAAGAGTAGAATTTTTACATATGAACTGAGAGAAGGTATCAAGTCTCTGCCACCTCTGAGGAAATGAAATTTAGGGGAAAAATTAAAGACTGATGCGTTAAAAGCAAGCCCCATTATGCAAAGAGGGACTCTTAATTATACTGTGAAATCTGAGAGGACAAAAATTGTTTCATTCTTCTTTTCAAACTTCTCAGCACCTAGCAGACCACCCCGTACTAACAAATTCTTAATAATTATTGGCTGAATGGATGAATAAATAAGTAAATCTTAACTAATGAGTTTCTAATGTGTAGAACATATTGGAGCCATTGGATAAGAATATGAAAAAGTATTTTTAAAATATAAAAAAGGCAAGAGAATACTTAGATTTGCTATGGCTTTTATGGAGTAAACAAATTCCCTCTTAATAACCTTTGAACCTCAACTGTGGTTAAATGTTTCTCATTTTGCCTGTGGGTAGCCTATCAACTTGAGGGCTATCATTTTCTGCTAAATGTTTTGGTGAGATACGCAAAAAATAAGCCAGGTATTTGATTTAACACTTCCCTTGTAGGCTGGGTAAACTTCTGGAGAAGGACCCCACAATATTGTGTCAGCAGAGCTGAAATTTCCCTGTTTTTCTTTACAATCCAAACCTTCAAGTGAGACCCATTAGGTGTTAAGATGTCTAAATAGGATCACTGGGTTATATTAAACAAATTTAAAGTTGTTGGGGGGGAACAGGAGGGAGAGGTATAAGAAGGGGAAACGGAGGAACAATTTCTAAATCACTTCATTCTAAGATAGCCTTGTAATTATCTATTTATATTGGGTAATATTTTCACTATGCCTGATAAGTAGGGGGTTAAGAGAGATTGATTCACTATGAAGAATAACATCCAAACTTGTTTCTTTTATTTAGCTGGTAGTAATCTTTTTTTTTTTTTTCTTTTTTCTTTTTTTGGTGAAGGCAATTGAGGTTAAGGGGCTTGACCAGGGTCACACAGCTAGTGAATGTTATGTGTCTGAGCCCGGATTTGAACTCAGGTCCTCCTGACTCCAGGGCCGGTGATCTATCCATTGTGCCACCTAAGGTAGTCATTTTCCTCTAAAAAAGTAGGCTTTGGTGATTTCCAAAAGAAATTATTTACCAATACAAGGGTGAATATTGAAAGTATTTTACACAGGCATATTAGAGACATGGACAAAAATTGCATAGAGTTAAGAAAGCATGGAGAGCTTGTGATTTCCATTCGTGAAACAACCATCCAGATTAAATTAAGAGCCATCAAAGTTTTATAATGTCATCTTGCAGCTAGAGATGGCCTTAAATCCAAGAAAATCTGGGTTCATGTCCTGCTTCCTGACACATATTGGTTGTATGACCCTGGGGAGACCTCTTAATCTCTTAATGCTCTAGGTAATTAAGACTAAATTGCAGAGAAACTTCCAGCCTGCATTGGCAGAGGAAATATGCTCACCCAAGAGTTCCCTATGCCAATGAAATCACAGGTCCTTGTAAGTAATTTGAATCATTGAAGCTTCAGTAGTTTCATAACTTTCAAAGATAAATGTTTTCCTTCCGTTCAGTTTTGTATACATGTTTATGTGTATTTTTTATTAGAATAAAAGGAATATCATGGATATAGATAGATTGGAAAGGAAGATTGATGAATTGACTAAAAGTGAGATTGAACACCAAGTAAGCACTTCCCAAATACTGGTAAAACATTTTCTTCTGATACTGACACCTGCTGATATTGAAACTGTTGCCTTTAATTTTAATCATTGATGTTTATCTACTAATTATTTGAAAGCTGGGGAGGAATTATTATGATTATGATTATTTGAAAGAGTACCTAATCATTGTAAATTGCTTCATATTCAGGATTATATAACTTATACCCCATAAAGAGATGAATATGGTAATGGGACTTAGAAAACCTGCCATTGATAGCTCTGATAGAGGTCTAGATGCTTTTCATATATCATATGTCTACATTGTATGTGTCTAGATCTGTAGTTTATAGTAAACAGAAAGGAGCTATTTTTAAGTTCATTAATCTGAATCATCTTAAATTATTTGAAATTGTTTATTTGAACCGAAATCACTTTCCTTGTAGTATATTAGCATCTATGTAAAATACATATGAATTTCACAAATTTTACATTTCCTAGAAGGGATCCAGACTCCCTGCATATTTTCACATGATATTATTACATGATAATAGTTATAAGTGTGTACTAAGTCTCTCTTAACAATGGGAATGACTGCCCCCAGCCAATAGAATAATATTGGGATGCCAGTTTCTGAATCACTGTTTGGTTTTTCCCTGTGTGTGGACTGAAGGCCTATGTTCATTTTATGCAAATATAGAAGGATCATTTATATTCTATTCTATTATTATAGATGTATGTTTATTTTGAGCTTAAATAGTGTTTTAATACCTTTGAAACGATCTTTTCTGAAGAAAATCAAGGACATCTTTTTTTTTAAGTTGTGCTTCTTACAGCTGACTTGGACCTTCAAGTGAAGAGGCAATTCTGTCTTACACTTGTTGGTTTGTAATAAATATGCAATGTATAAATATATGTATACACACTATATAATACTTTCATTTTCACCAAGAAAGTGTGGGTTTTCTATCTATGCTATCTATTCATACAGAACTACTGTTCCACCATGGAAAATTCCCTTTGCAGGAAATGAAATAGGTCTGAAAAAAAAAATCACAGTCTCAGAGTTAGATAGGACCTCAGAGGCCAACGAATCTAATCCATTCCTGAATATGAATCCTCTCTACAATATCTGCAGTAAGCGGTCTTCCAGCCTTTGCATGAAGAATTCTGTGAGGGGACACTCATTACCACCTGAGACAGCCCATTACACTTTAAGGGAGTGCTAGTATTGGGTAATTTTTTTCCCCTTATATAAAACCTACATTTGTCTCTTAGCATCTTCAACCCATTTCTCCTTAGTTCTACTTACTAGGACTTTTTTTTTGTAAGAGCTGTTCAAATACTTTAAGATATATCACATCCTCTCTAAGGATGAGTGATATGAGATATTTTGCTGGGCTGGGCCATGTATCCTAAATTGTAGTAGTTTTCTAAACACTACTTGAGACGCATACGTTGTGGCTAGGCTTCTGTGAACTTAGGATCGTCCATATCATAATTATGTAAAAAGGCTTTGAAAACCATGAAAGGTAAAGTGAAATGATGCCAGACAGGAAGTCTGTTCCAAATGGCTGTGGTTTTTCAGCATGCCTGAATAAAAGTATTCCTGTATAAAAGAATCAAGTTAGCTGGAAACAAAATAAACAAGACAGTCCTTTCCCTCAAGGAGCTTACCTTCTAATGGGGGAAAGATATATTTGTCACATGACCAGATTAGTCATTTTCTCCAGACTTTTTCACGATCCTCCAAACACCCTCCCCCAAAAAAGACATATGCACCTGATGTACAATAGGTACAACTTAACAGAAGATCAACTTCCAAACAAGGTAAACTCATTTAACAATTAACAGTAAAGAACTGTAATACTTGAGTGTCCACTCAGCCCTCTTCTCCATCAGTCTCTGAGTGGTAGTGGCAGCAATAGAAACATATCTTAGGTTTTGTGCAGGGCTGCCTCCTAGGATAGAGACCCACATTGTTGCAGTGACTAACTCTGAACAGCCTGCCACCTCCCGCCTTTTAAAGAAGCAATAGAAGTTGATGATTCCCAGTGAAGTGAAGGAAAGGAGGAAAGGAAGGGAAGCTGAAAACATGTTGCTTTTTGACTGGGACTAGGCCCTAGGGTCAGGACTCCTATAGCTACAGTGACTTGCCTGAACAACTCTGAATATGCCTACTGACCTTTGCTTTGGGGATCTCTGAAGGTGTGAAGATATAGCTATCTGTGACAAACACAACATTCATTTGGAAGAGCATTTGAGGAAGGCCTACCACCTAGCATTGGCATTATCTCAGAAGACTATGGAGAAGAACAAGAAAGGGTTTTAAAGCTTAACTGTTAAAAACTGTACTGGCGGGGTAAGGTTTTGTTACGAAATCTTGATGTGCTGGGGAAAACCCAAGACAGCACATTGACAGAGAGCCACCCCATACTAAGTGGCGAAAAGAGTAGGTATTCTACCAAGCTACAGAATTACTCCAGAAAATGATCAGAGCCTTTCAGATATTATGCATTTCAGTTATCTGCTGTCCATGGGAGAATGTTACTCCCACCCTTAATAAGTATGTAGAGGGACAAGAATTCAGGAGAGACATGAGTTACATAAGGCTATTCTTCTCCTTCCTCCACAACTGCCTTTACTCATTCTGAATATAAACTCCTTGAGGACACAGACTTTCATATTTATCTTTGTATCCCCAGTACCCAGCACAGAACCCAGTATTTAATAGGCATTTAATAAATGTTTGTTGTTCAGATAATTTTGTAGCATTGCCATTCACCAAAGCACTATTGTAGCTGAATTCAGCAGGCACTGTATTGGGGCTACAAAGGTGACAAATGACAGTTTCTGCTCTCAAGAAGTTTTCAAATTAGTGAGGAGCGAGGCATGTTTATATTACATATACTATAGTATATACACTATAGTTTAGAATGGGGAAAGTTCATAGACAGGGCCAAAACAGAGAAACATGAGGTTTAGAGCTCTCTCCTAATGAGGAAAACTAGGTGGTCTAATCAGGGGAATGGCTTCCCTTCCATTTGTTTTCTTTTCAGATGAAACTACACATGTGTGAGAACACTTTGCTTAATAAAGATGCCAGTCTGCATAAGGTTGGTTTAAAAAATAAACAAAAGTTATGGTCTAGATTTGGGGAGAAAATAGCAAAGACAGAGTAAGTCATAATTTTTATTACCTATTAAAATAGTTCATGTTTAATTCAATTCTAATGTCCTAAGGCTTTTCTTTATATCATTTATGAAAAAATTTCTCTCAGTTCTCCTGGGATGAATTTAAATATATCTCTGTATCTTGAAAAGTTGGAGTACTTTTCTTATAAGAACATAAATGTATATGTCTCTTATTGTAATACTAGAGGGAAAAAATGTTTTAAGTCTCTGTCATTAAACGTTATGCAGAATTAGATCATAGGATCATAGATTCAGACCAGAATAGACCTTTGTGGCCTCAAGTCCACTCCCTTCATTTTATAGATAAGGCAAGTAAAACACAGAAAGGCTGTGACTTGCCCAGAGTCACACATTTAGTAAGTATTTGAGGCAATATTTCAAATCATGTGTTCCTAACTCCCAAGTCCAATGGCCTATCCATCACTCCATTGGGTGAACCTGACTCTGCTTAGCATTTTAACTTAACTCTGTTTTGGTGATCTTTGATCATCTTCCTATGAAAGATTCTGGGGAGAGATGACTTAAGGTGGCCAGAGAGGCAACAGGAAGTGCACAACCAAAGCAAGAAGTCTTCTGAATAATGAATTCTAATGTGAACTCTTTGTGAGCAGAGATTGTTTTTACCCTTTCTTATATCCCCAGCACTTAGCACAGTGCCTGACACATAAAAAGCACTTAATAAATGCTTGTTGACTGACTGATAGAGGAAAAGCCAGTGGGAATGGAGCAAGTGTTTGACATTCTTCCTTGTTTGTCCTTAAGAGAAAGGAAGTTTTAAAGGTCACACTTCCTTGAGGAGTTTGGCTAGTATACTGACCAGAGTACTAACCAGAAAGCCTTTGGAGATGAAGTACATTGATTGGCTTCTTGTCACTGAAGGAGAATCAAAACATCATAACCACCTTTGCCTTCAATTTCTGCCTTATGGCATTAAGATATTTCTGTATGTCTCTGATTATGTTACCCCTGACTTTTATTTTCCAGTATAAATAGAATGATTTTAAGGGAGGGACAAATTGATACTGTTAGTCTTAGGTAAGTAATTAATAATTTTGGGGTGCATATATAACTTGCTTTCATCTTGAATTCAGTTAAAACAACTGTAGTTTGGAACCTGAACTTGTGGGAATGTCTTTTGCAACAGAACTACTTTTTGCTCAGATTTTTTAAAAATGTGCATGTCACTAGACAGAGTCAGAGAAAAATATGGCTAGAGGGAAAAGGATGTCTTATTGTTACTACTTTTTTTTTCTTGACTCAATCTGTGATTTCATTGGTGTAGAGAATTCCCAATGATGAAACTACCTTCACCAATGTAAGCTGGCACCTGCTCAGAAACTTAAAAGTCATGGAGAATTTCCTGGCAGTATTAAGAGTTTAAGTGACTTGCCCAAGGTCACACCCATTATGTGTCAGAGGCAGGACTTCTTGACTCTGAAGCCTTGACTCTAACCATTACACCATGCTGCCTCTTCTAGACTAAATCTGTTTGTATCCAGAGGGTCTCTAAAATTCAGATGCAGAACTTCTGAACTCACTTGGTTCATGGTAAGTAACTAAGTGTGTTTAGTTTTTAAGCCATAAGCCTGGCAGTGAGTCTCAGGGTGAGTAGGCAGATTCAGTTCACCTGGTACTGTAGGACTTAATTACTAATGAAGGTTGATGGGTTAGTCTATTAGATCTTTTGCTATTAACTCTCTATTCAACCTTACAGAAAGATTTACACATAGAAGATCTTAAGTCAGTCCTTGTGGAGTACAACACAGCCATAGAGGTAGCACAGTTGTTTTATCACTGGAGAGCTTAAATGTGCTTTTAAGTAACTGATGACCAAGTAACTCAACTCATATTTATTATGCCTGTGATTCTAGAATTTACGAAGGGAGAAAAATCAGCTGATGCATGAGTTGCAGCAATCAAAACAGGAGCTTCTATTGTAAGTATACTGTAACCTCGTTCTTTTAACCTGGAAAACAATCAGTAACATCCCAAAGCAGTTAGTCTATTGTGTTTTGTTTGTTTTGCTTTTAAGAAATGGATTCAACTTGCATGTTGATGGACAGCTTTACAGGGGCATTCCTGAAGGCAAGAAATCACTGCACTCTGAACTTATACT